TCACTTGAGAAAAGATCCGTGAAGGAGTGCAGACCAAATCATCCCGGGAACAAGCCCCACGTGTGGCCTTGATGGGTGACGACAAGATCCGCACTTAGCAAAAGGAACAAATCTAGCCGACGCAAAAGCCTAATCGACTAAACGGAGCGAGGGTACGCAATAACTTATCTTGTGCAAACCAATCAGTCAGCATATTTTAACCGATTACTATGTGAAACGGATGGGAGTATGGTTCGGTCCCCAATCGATGACTACAATTGAACGAATCCTCAAAAAATTAAATAAAGACTGACAATGGCATGATATCTGAAGTTCGTGGTTTAGCACTGAAGGTGACCAAGACACATGCCAGCAACAAAGATCCTAACAGGTCACGGAGGTCGCCTCATATACGAGTCTCTCCAAAGGCAACAATCTAACCGAATAGGATTAATAAAATCTCTCGGCCGGCCAACTCATACGATAGATCGACTAACAAGCTGCCCACATGATCAATCAAATCACAACCAATCCAAATAAGCAAAAAACTAAAAACTCTTTCTCATGTTTTCAAAAAGAGTTAAAAAAATGTCTTTCTTTTGTTTCTAGAAAAAAAAAGCCTTCACATCTCAGAACCCTAGCGGATGGTTGGTCCTTTTTCATTGCCCGAGTCGTCTTCCTCTTCGGAAGCTTCTTCCGACTTGCTTGAAATTAGGGCAAAGAGTTCTTCCGGTTTGGAAAATTTGGGGTCGACTAGATCATAGTGGATAAATCGTTGGATAACATAGTCCACCCCAAGCCTTAGTTAACGTTGTCCTCATACTCCTTGAAAACAAACGAGGGGATTGTCTCCTTCAGCTCAAAAAACTCCTTCCTTAAGGCCGCTATGGTGCCAATGGATTCCTGATTAGCCTTCTCGATCTTGTCAAGCTTGAACTTCAAGATGTCCTAATCGTCGCGAGTTATCATGAGATATGTCTTCAACAAAGCATCCTTTTTCAGAGCCTCATCTAGCACTTCTTCAAATTTGATCATGGCCAACCCTAGAAAATGGGCACTCTTTCAAATTTGATCATGGCCAACCCTAGAAAATGGGCACTCTGCAACGTCATAGTAGGATTTCCCGTGGCAGAAGCCTCCCAGAGTATGTTCGAGCTCCTCCAGCCACCGCAAGTTCAACATGCTCTTGTTCTCGTTGTCTGTGGGTACCGGTCTAAAGTCCGATCTAGTAGACCAAACCGCTTGTCAAACCCGAGCTACGTCCCCCTGACGCCTCTATACATGGGCTCTCTCTTGAAGGCCTTCTTGCTCCTCTTCAAAGGAGGGGGGAAGTGGCATGTCTGTTTCCTCCACCGACTCCTTCACCCCGTTGACGAACCTTTTTTTCGCTTGGGGGAAGTAAGGCCTCGTTTTTAAATATGAAGTCGACTCTTCCGGCAAAAAATTGGGCGAGGCAACACGAGCGGCCAGGCTAGCTTTGGCTTTCTAAGACAAGGCAACAAATGAAGAATCCCCTACATGTGAATCCGATGAAATAATGGTTGTCGATGACATGCTAGCTTTTGAGGAAGAAGGGGCTACGACAGTGGTTTCACCCGGAATCCCTTCAAAACCATATGTTCTCCTATCACCTTCCCCTACATCAGAAAAATGAAAAACATGTTTTGGAGGGATGGAAGCAACCTTTCCAATCACCGTATCTTGAATAATAATGTTGGTTTCAGACACGGAAGTAAGGTATCTCAAGGCACCACTGTAAGAAAGTAAGCCCTCATTTTCTCAGAATTACCTGGCCCGAGGAGACTCAGAAGCTTCCGTTGCTTGGTGGCCAGCTTCTCCTTCGCCGCCTTGGCCAAGATCACTTCGTCAATATTTGAGAGGCGCCACTGTTCCTCGATCAACTTACCCTGCAACACATAGGTAACTGTCGCCTTAGCGGTGTACTGCAAAACCGAGAGATGACGATTAGTCAACATCACCTTCTAAATGTTCATACTTGATGGAAGAGACTTCGGTCTATCCACCACTCGATCAGATGGCTCAGTCTAAATCCCTCAATTGCTAGGGCAAGAATTAGCCAGAAAGTTCTTCTTCCAATCCTTTATGATATTCTCTACTCCCTGCAAGTGGACTTCCTTTCTCACTGAAAACGTGGTGAAGCCCTCCTTAACTAACTTAAACGAGAAAAGTGGTTAAACAGGTCGATCGACCATGAAATATGCTCCCGACGATAATAAGAGATGAAATTCATTATTACAACTATGTAGTTCGACAACACTTGCGTCAAAATGACACCATACTTATTGAAAACACTCTGGATCTCATCACACAAAGGCAACCGGAGGGCATACTTGAACTGGTCCCGATAGAAGACCAGATCCTTACCCAAGTTGTCCATCGCTCACACCAACCTAGGCATCCTCTGAAAATCAATGTCGTCTTGAAGAACATACTTCCTTTAAAACTCATTCACGTTGCAATCTGTCAAGAACGAAGGATCATCACCCTTGATAGAGCCAAAGAGGGTGGGGGGTATTTGGAAGCCATCTCAAAGAGCAAAAGGCGGTCGTAAGATGAAAGGAGAAGAAAAATCAAAGACACAAAGAAAAAAACTAGAACACGTAAAGTAAAAAGAAACGACCTCTTGCCCTATTTATAGGGAAGATGCGTAAAATGAAGCATTACATAATGATAAGTGTCACATCAAACATTCTTTCAAACTTATTTAAAGACCGTTTTATGACAAATATTATTATAACAAGTCTCGAATAAAGTGTTTTATGAACGAGTCCTCTAAAGCCACAGTCGAAACATAACCCCTCTGAGTAAACCTTTGGAGGACCATCTCTCCGCCTTACCTAACGCATTCCACCTAGTTGGCCTCGTGACCGAACCTGCTAACATCGACCGACTCGCAAAGCGCTCCTAGCTCGTGTCGCGCCTCGGCCAACCCGCTTCGCAAGATGGCGACCTCTGCCCGCAGAGCCACTACCTCCAAGTCTATGGTTGCTAGTTGGACCGAAAACTCTCGCACAGGATCTACGACCAGGCCTTCGATCGCTCCGTCCGAAGAACCGACCAACATTGCCAAGGGTCTGGTCCTGTTCACCTGCTGCTCCATGGATCCGGGAGAAGGCAGTCGACACTGTTCACTCATGTTGAGAGTCGATAGTGGTCAAAGGGTTGGGCGACTGGTATCCCTTCGAAATCAATGATCGTAGAAGTTCGCTAACACAACCTGCAGACTGGCCACCATAGTGGGGACATACTCCATAACGTCCTTCGAAGGCGCACCATCTTCGCGGCCCTCTGACCCAACTAATTCATCTGCATTAAGACAACTTCAAAAAAATTGTTAAAACCCACTAACGACCAAGGAAAACTTTACGGACCTATAAATTTATCTATCGAAGAAAGGGCCTTCAAAAGTCTCTCTCTTGAGACGAGGTACCTCTGCCTGCCGCCTGAGAAGAGATGATGATCATCGCTTTCGTCCGCTCTCCTCAACACCTGTTGCAAGTAAGACTTGTTTGTCAATGACAATCGTGACCACATCGAGCCCAGACGCCAGAGTTTCCTGATGAAGCTTTTTCGACAAATGTCGAGTCGATTACATCGAACGGATCAGGTTCAGTCTTGACTGCTTTTCTTTCTTCACACTCTTCCTCTTCTTTACAGGGATCAGGCTAGGAAGCCTACCTTGGCTAGACTTTTGAGATCCTCATCGACCCAACTCGTACCATCACTCATGATATACCTCAACTATCTGGAAAAAAATTGCCGACTAGAGATGCAATGCCAAGCCTATGACTTTATTTATAAAGCACACTAGGCACAAAACCCAAAGAGAAGTAAATTGTTCAATCAATTCTTGATTTTGATTATTTAATAATTTATATATTTTTATTGTAACTGTCACTATCAAAGAGCAGAAAAACTCGAAGAACTAATATGTATGCACTAATATTATTGGCACAAATTTCAAAGCAAGCGAATGGCTAAATTTGATGACACAACGATCGAGGCATGAAATTCAAGAGACGATATGAATCGATCACCTAAAAGATCAACATATTGATCAAGTCCACACTCGGTGAATCCGGTTGGGGATCATATCTATGACTCCAATCGCTGAAGCAACCCTAAAAGCCTACCAAACACAATCGACTGACTGACCACTCATACCTTGGAAGAACAGCCTCCACTAGACCCTTTGTTTTAATCGACCGAACTAGAACACATTGACCATCTGATTACCGTTATATCCGAATTCAAAATGTAACATAGCATTAAATCAACACATTTATTGCATATTAAGTGTGATTTCCATATTTGCTCTCCTTTCGATAATTGAGGGTCATTTCATAATCGCTCTCATTTCTATAATTGTACAAGAAAGGCTCCTAAAAACAGAAGGCTCGACAATGAATAAAGAGGACTCCCCATGGATTAAAACCCTTCCGACCTTTCTATTGAAAACTTTCCAACACTTTTCTTCCCTTTTTATTCCTCTCGGCTCTAACTCACTTCCGGATCCTACAATGTGACCCCTATATTTTAAAATTATACAGAGAACTTTTTTATCCACCCAATAAAACGACATTATAGAACAATCGAAGCTCTGAAAAACGGTAAATGAAACACGAAAGATGATTGCTATTCCAACATGCAAACGCTCATAATGATCATATCTATGTAAAACTACATAAATGCCCATCAGTATTCCAATTTGACATGAACAAAAACGCTCAGTTTCAAATCATTATTATTAAAAAGCAGGGCGAACGCCTCATTCACTGAAACTAAAGAACACGGCAAAATCAAGGATGCCTGATTGACCGAAAACAAGACGACAAACCACAGATTTAATTATAAGAAGCTTCAGCAAAATCTGCTAAAGGCAAGAATATAGAAATATAGTGGGAATGATTTCATCAGTTTTCCAATTTGTGGAAATCCAGAATTTCTGTCTAAACATACTGCTCCTCAGATAAGATTACATAACCAAAAATGCATTAATAGAACCGTACAAAACCTATTAATTAAGCACTAAAACTGTTCAGCTTCCAGCAGCAAGAATCCACAACCAAATTTTCAGACAAAATAAATAAAGATGAGGACAACAGAAGCAGATTATAACCAGCTAACGCTTTTTCTTGCCCCCCTTTGCAGCGCTGGACTTTGAAGGGCTCACGAGAACAAAAACAAATAGACCCACAAATAGCAATACTGCAACCTGTGAGCCGTACTTCGTCAACAACCTCTGCATATTTCAAAGCACAGTTAGAAGAATAATGGACAAGTTGCTGTGATATTCATAGAAATAAATTTCAGTGAGATTTTCTTCTCTTACTTTTGACTGAAAAGAATTCACCGATGAAGAAGGCATCGGATAGAAGAGGATCGTGAAAAACACAGAATTATTTGTTAGTGGTTGAAACTGAATGTAGGAAAGGAAAATCGACATATTAGGGTGGGTAGAGAAAAGGCTTACCCATTCGAACTTCTTCTCTTGAGGCTTGTCAGCAAGAATATCAAGAGGTTGAATGGGAGTAGAGAAAGCCTCCTGTAGCATATGAATAAAAGGAGGAAAGAAATGTTTCAGAAAATCCCTGAACTTCTAAATTTTACATTCCTTCCAGAGGGAAAATCAATATATTAGAGAGCTTATCAATAACTATGGGACTGAGCATCTAGATCCCCAAGATACTGATATGATTTGACGTAGAAATGGCAGGATATTCCACAAAATTTAGGGCAAAAAAAAAATTTTTACTTTAATAATTTAAAACAATATGAATACAAGGATAAGCACCTACAATTCAAGAGGTAGGCGATCTCTCCCAATTCCGACAATTCGAGAGGTACAAAGTCTTTTCCAAACCATAAACCTAAAACTCACAACAAACAATCTCATGGATACCCAACCGTAATCCTATTGGGACCTATGTATACCAAACCCTAATAATAATGAAAAATAAATTGCCCTTAGGCTAATAAAAGACAAAAGCTTAACGAATATCCGGGTGACACTGATCAAAACAGATACTTATGTAAACTTAGTTGATAACAAATAGCAAAGCTAGTAGAAAATCCAAGTAGAAACATGAGTGTATCTACAAAAAATTTATCAATTTTTATACGATATCCACAAAAAATTAGACTATAGATAAAATTAGCATTGGAAGGTTAGAAAAGAAAAGGGAACAGAGAGAGAGAGAGAGAGAGAGAGAGAGAGAGAGAGAGAGATGCCTAAGGTAACTTGAATAGAAGTTTAAAATGATATATAGAGAAGAACATTTAAACATCAAACATCACTCCATGAGAACGAATGAAAGAAATGGGAATTATATTAAAAAAGCACCAAATAGTTAGAATAAGGTCAATGATATTGCCATGATGATCTCCATGATGCCCATATTTCAGCAGTTTCAGAATATTGATGAATAGCAATGAATGTTTAGCCGCTGTCTGCTGATTCACGCATTTTCCACATCCCACGGCTTCATTTATAGCATGGATGGATAATCAAATTTATATAATTGCTACATTTAGCCTCTTTGGATCATACTAAATTCTGCTTTATTGCTAGTTTATTTAAGAATAATAACGATATTAATAAGCTATGATGAGACTTGGTTGAATTCCATTCACGTGACGCACTGCACAGTTTCAACATGATAGAAAACAGACCTGCAATGCAGCCTTTGTTGGAACACGAAATTTGATAACAGCAGGAGAACCTTGGAAAGCGCCCTTTACCTTGGACTCCAAAACAAATGAATGAGATGCAGTCGCGCCTCTGATGATAAACGAAGCAAGACAGAAAAATTAAGTTTTTTAAATGAGTAAAATGTCAAAATAGTCGCCTGACTATTTACGTTTGGGCTATTTTAGTCCAGAGTATATAGAAGTGCCAATTTAATACTCAGATGTTTTTTAATCGGGGGCTAAAATTGTCTTCTTTTTTTTTTTTTTTTCGGACTATTTCAGCTCTTATTAAAAGAGTGCGTATAGGAACTATCTTGACACTTTTATAAACTCCAGGATTAAAATGACTCTTTACGAAGAGTCGGGAATCATTTTGACACTTCTATTTTTTAAATTGATAAGATGAAACAGGAGAGACTGAAGAAATATGCATGGAGACGAAAATAAAGGACTTACGCATCAAGCCGTTCCCAATTCTTTGAAGTGCTACCAGATACAACCTCAAATTTATCTTCAGGCCAACTATCATCAACAAGGCTCACATCATAGGCAGTCCTGTCAAGTTGTTAAGTAAGAAGTCAGGTTACCGAGAAAGATGCACAACTTGAAGATGAGAACGAGAGGCAGGATTAACATAGAATCATTCACTACTTCAAAAAAGTCTTGCAGTTATAATTTAAATTTACATAATGACCATTTCAGATTCCCGAAAAAAGAATATTAAACTAGCATGCATAGCCAATTAATGGATCCATTTAATTTAGAAAATGTCTAATAATCCTTCTACTTAATTCTCACTGAGCTATATTTTGGTACAGCTTATTCATAATTTTAACTTACAGGCAGCTATATAACTTTTGTTATGATTCGATTGTATTTAGCTTTTGAAAAATTTATGTGATGAAAATGAGCATTTTACCAACATATTTACAAAAATATGATAGCATTAAATAAGCTATTGTTTGACGTTTTTAGAAGGAAAGAAAATCTATGTTACCAACATTAGCCATCAAATACTATTTTTTTCCTATACAAAGTTAATTTTAAAATTGGTTCAAGCCTTCCCAAATGTTGGAGTGCAATCATATATTATTTGGTGGAACATTTGCCTAGTAGTCTAATTTGGAATATATTATATAAAAAAAACCATGAATGCGCTAAATTTCTGCGGGTTCTTAGACAACCCTACTGGATCCTGGCGAGAAAGTTTAGTATACATTTTTGCAAAACCAATTGCCTGCCAATTGGCTAGCTTCAGAGATAGAGTAACATGTTGCAACAATCACCACTATACATGAGCAGGCCTAATTCCACCTTCAAGATAGCCAACATATCTACACTATTGTTAATTCCCACAATACGAACTTGGTAGCTTAAAAAAAGTAAGTTTTATGTTTTTTTTTTTTTTAAGTTCTTATTAATGTACCAATCAATTAAAGGTACTTCAAGCCTTATCTCATGCTGTAAATGATTTTTCCTTCTCTGTTTATGAATCTTCTTCCACAGGACAGAAAGGTAACTGCTGCATTTTCTTTTGGATTGATCAAAACAACAGTCAATCTGTTTTGCTTTGCTGGACAACAAGCAGTCTCACTGTTTTTTTTTTCCTTTTGACAGCAACCAGTTGCTGTTTTCTGCTTCCATTCTGCTATTTACAAATTTGCTGTTTTCTAAAGCATTGCTGCAAACAGCAATCTGTTTCTCATGTTTTCGTTTTAGAGGAACAGCAAAAGCACAAGAAAACAAGATTCCTGTGAATATTACAAAGGCAATGCCGAAGCTGCTCGAGCATTCCAGCTGTACCAAGGCTTAGCGCATAGAAACAGCAGCAACACTGAATAGGCAGCTGCCCTACAGTACCGGGCACTATGGCTGTTGCTGGACTAAAATAAAAATTTATGACAAAGAATTAAATATAATCTACTTAATAAACTGGACAAAAAAAAAAATCCTATCTAAAAGAATAAAATAGATAAGTTTGAACAAAAAGTTAATAACAATAAGAATCATCCTATTCCTAAATTAAAAATAAAAAGATAAACTAATCTGAACGAGTTCTCAAAATCAACCTTATCATATTGTAGCCCAGATTTTAATCAATCAACCAAGTTTTGAGGCCTTGATGTCACTTGAATGATGTCTAATTGATGATCTAATTGTCTATGGCCTCGTAGAAACATCCTTTTTGATCGCTATGGTGAGATCTAAAAATCAAAACCACCAGCAATCTCCATAAAAAAGCCAAACAATCAAAACTTCAACAAATATGATCTCCAAATCCCTTCACACATTCATGCCCAAAATACGTGGGAAACTTCTAGCTACACTACTTTGTATTGTTTATCAACAAATCTTTTAGAGAGTTTCTAAAAGATTTTAAAAACTTCTTTTGAGAGCTTTCCAATTCAGACAACAAAGGATAGCAGGATATAGGAATCATAGAAGAGTCAAAAAAATAAAGGACATAATCATGTATAGAGCCAATAAAGCGGTAAGAAGTAAGAGATTATTGAAAGAAGAGGACATATGAAGCTAGCATGGTGAACAATGGTTGATCAGTAACAACAGAGAACCTTAGGATATGCATCAATGTCAAGCTTGGAATAATTCAAGCTTTAAGAAACTGATACCATTCCAATATATCTAAGCATAATAGTTAATGTTCAAGAAGAGATATCCTAGAATCATCACAAATAAATTTATCCTCCCAATTTGCAACCTACCTTGGGAATAAACATTCAATATTGGGTAAGATTTCATTACCAATAATAACTTCAACCATGAATGTCCAGGAATTATATAAATGACATGTTGAATGTGAAATCCAAAGGAAGAGATGAAGATAAAGAAGAATACAAGATAATGATTAATGAATTAGCACCATATTTTTCAGAATTTAACCTAGTAAATTTGCCTCAATTCATGGCATGATTTTATATTGTCAATTTTCTCTTAACAATTGATTTGTTAAGAGTTCACATAGGAAGCATTCCGGCATTTAAATGTCCCATTGTTTTATCACCATGTTTGAATTCCATATATATCTTATTGAAATCTTCAATAGACTTATAATTATTATGGTTAATAAATATTTGTAAATATTTTCATGCAAGTCATAAATATGAGTAATGGGCAATGCCACATGAAACAATGCGTAAACTAAAACTGATTCCAATAGTAGAAAATTATCAAAAGAAAAAAATTTAAAACTTTATATTCGTTTGATTACAACAATTTTTTTAATGATAAATACCAAAATTGACTTACAAGGTCTATCATATGGACAATTAATCACAATACAAAAAATAATCCATATTTACTGATTATTTACAATGAATTAAATATCATTGAATTCAATTAAAAAGATGGAGTTATGGATCTTATATTTTCTAGAAAGTAACTATCAAGAATCCCTCTGTATGTTTCAGAAATTTGATATTATTGATAAGGCATTTTTTAATAAAAATATAAAACAAGAAATGAAAAAATTAAATTAAATTAATATCACTTTGATCAGCATATGTAGAGATATCTTCAATGGAGAATTTACCAAGAGTTACACTATTGGAATTTCAATTAAATTCTTAAGTTCAAGAAATATGAATTGTTTAATGTTAAATTAAAGATATATTTAGTTTTCTATTTTTGATTTAGATAGGACCTAGATTCAAAATTAGGCTCTTGCTCAACTTTAGGTTTAGGCTCATGAACGAGAGCTGCTTCCCTTCTAATACCCCAAGGACCATTTCTTCTACCAATATGATCATACCATCTACTGATATACTTGAATATGTTATTTTTTTTCTTTGGCTATCACATCATAACCATACATCCAGCTACTCAAGCCTATATCTCATTCCTTCACTCCTTAATGACACTTCACATTTGAATTTCCAAAAGTAACAATTAAGCATATGCAGGAGGGGTCTAACCGATATAAACTTACACCATTACATTTGAATTTTCAAAAGAGACAATTATGCATATGCAGGAAGGGTCTAACAGGTATCATCCATGTCCAATAGCGTGATCAAGAACCTTGGCACCATATTTTATATCAATAATATAAGCAGTGTTTTAAATGAGCTGGAAAACAATGCTTCCAATTTCCTACCCTTTTCTGTACAGAAGGCTGACCACAAGGGCAGATTGAAGCACGGAGTGAATCTAGAGGTGGGAGAACAAGCATGAATTGTTTAGCGGAAGACCAAACTGGTCAGTTTTGCAGCATGACTTTATTAGTTAATTATTTAGTATCAAGACAAACCTGCCAAGAAACTGAGAAAAATAAGACAACTAAATCAGATTTTGCTTCCTGCTTTGCAATAATGTGATGGTGAACCCCAAGGCCCCAACTAACAGACATATTTGCTTTAGTGGAAATGCTAGCATCATTGCCCTATCAATTCAGTCTAGTGCAACCATGAGCCACATCTAAAGTATTTCATGAATCATAACTTATGATATTCTTCTTCTACTCCTCTACCTTCTCTGTTTTCATGCACCTTGACATCATTTTATAATTTCTGCTGCTCTATTTTCTGCTTCACCTTACTTCCTAAAGTTTCTTCATAGGTTGTACGCATATCCTCAAACTATTACCTCATACTGCTCTTCTTCTTCTTATATTAAACATTAAATCCTGTAAGCGCAAAATTTTCATGTGTATATTTATGTGTGTCTGATCTCATTCTTTTCTTTTATTTCTGCAATCACCTTGTTCGCTGTACTCCATGCCAAAAAAGACACTGTAAATGGCTATCCAGCTTCCATTGCATCGCCTACTTCCCAGCTCCACAACATGCTAATCTAAACATATCCCTCTTCTTATTTTATTGATAAATTTCAGCTGCATAGCTTGAGCAGTGATATCTAGTCATTTGCTGATCTTCCTTTCTATACTCAATTTTACTTGTTAGCTTCAAATGCAAATATAAAAGCCAATATCACACATTAGTATCACACAAAAACATCCAAAACTACACATGAGAGTGTACATCAGTATGTATATGTATCTTAACAGAAGTGTATCAGATGTGCTTGAACTTCTTTTTTTACAGTTCTTTGAATTGTTAAACGATCCACTTTGATGTGTGCTTGTAAAACTGATTATAAGCTTAGAAATACAAACCCAATATCACCATTTTTCTCTCAAGTTGGATAAGGACTAAGGAGCTGATATTCTAATTTCACAAGCCCTACTTCGACTAGGACTTGTCATCAACTAGTCATGGACATGGACAAGATTGAAGTGAATGTTGCGGTCATCCCAAGTCCAGAGAACAGGATTTCAAGCTAGGAATGCAATTAGAAGAATGTTTAAAAAATATAAAATGTTTGTAAGGGTAAAAGTTATTTAGATTGAAGAGGTCTAAGCTTTTGAGTCCAAAAAGAGACCCTTCTAATCATACAGCTCCAGCCGCTAAAGCACTCAATCACAGGATGTCCTGGCAGGTGGTTTTCATCTACTATTGTGAATATGTTTTTAAAATGTACTAAAAGAAGTCCGGTCGATTTCAAATATACTTTGCTTTCTTCTAAAACAATGAAGATGGCATAAGCGTCATGTGCATACGATGATACATGTCAATTTTTGTGTATAACAGTTATGACTCGAAGCAAGAGATATATTTTGTTTACAAAGTTTAAATTTATGCTTTGCAAAATGTTTTCATTGAATTAAACAGAAAAAATGTAAATAAATACTAAATCTTAGTAAAACTACACATGAAATACTAGGTCCAAGTCTAAGGATGCCAATAGCATAAACAGCCTACTTGTATAAAAAATTCATAGGCATACCAGTATTCATTATACATTAATACTCCATGATGATATAAAGCTCAGGAAAATTCATACCTTCTAGTTCAAATCATTCGCAAGCACTTCATAACAAAAGATACATAGAGTGCTTCACTGCAATCAATCCAAGATCCAAGGAGATTGATACATAAAATCTTATCCCGCATTGTAGTGAGAAATTCTTCGAGTAAGAATTCCGCCAAATAGTGGAATAGATGGGATTCTGAAATCCCGCATAATTCCCAAACGAGAAACTGTGGATTCCCACGATAGCGAAAGGTTATTGCACCCAGCGTTACCTATTTCAGCCTAATTTCTTTCTTTTCTAATGTTTTTTTTTTTTCTATTTCTCTAATTCAAAGTAGGTTATATCTATCTAGGAACTTTTAAATATGTTGTATTATGAGGCTTTTTTTTTTTAGCTTGATTTATGTGGTTTGGAGATTGGATTGTCTGTTTCCTGCCCTAAGAAGTGTTGTATCATCTTCCTTCTGCAAGCAAAGTGTATGTAACTTGTTCAGGAAAAGGCAGTAAACTCCTAGACATTTGTACTGCTCAATTTCATTGTTTTCTTCACAGATTTTAGCTCGGAAAACTGTCAAATGCCCTCTATCTCTTTACAAATGTCGTTGATACCTCATATTTTCACTTCCTTGATATTCCATAATCACTTCTCTGCTAAAACACCTTCTAGGAGCCCTATAATGGTGACATATAGAGTCAAAGCCTGATAAACCCTAAATTTTTAGGGATGTCTTCCTTTGCTCTCAAACCAAAATTCCACACAACCTAACCTAATACCCTCCACCAAACAAAACAAACGAAAACAAAATCTCATATCATATACCTAGCCCTAAACCTAACCTAACTCGAAACAACATTTCCTTTTCAGTAAAACCTTAATTAGAAAAATGAGAAACAATGCCTCCAAGAAAAAACCCTTAATAAGATGTTCAAGAGAATATTATGGAGGATATACAATTAAAAATTATCCAACTGCCGCAAAATCCTGTTGTATTTGAGAGGAGATAGCCCAATGAGGTCACCCATAACTACAACCCTATGCTAATGGTTTATCTATGGAAAAGTATACTGTTGAATTTGATCAACTTATAATGAAATGTGAGTTCGTGAAATCAAAGAATCACACAATGGTAAGATATACTAGAGGCATGAGGTCTTCTATCAATGATGCAGTGCAGCTGCAACCATATAAGTCTCTACTTGATGTACAAATCTTAGTTTCGAAGGTGGAGAAACAACAACGTCACTAGTTGACCGCCACACCTTATAGGCAAAGTTCAACCCCAAGATCGGGCAGGAAAAGTGCACCCATTTAAGCACCCAAGTCGGCCTTACCCTAGGAAAAATCAAGTCAAAGTGGAAAAAAAATGAAGATCACATGTACTCCTAAATCGGCCACAATCGGGAAGACTTTAAGTACCACAATTTTGGGTATATTGTCTATGATTTCCCAAGTAGGAGGGTGATATTTTTCACTGCGCAAATAGCAGTTTAAAAAATGGACAATGACACATGAGATATTAAAAAAGGTGATGACACAAAAGAGGAGTGTTGGCATCCAGCCAACGAAGGAAAGATAATAGTAAACCAACGAGTCCTTCAAGCTGAGAAAATGAGAGAACAAAGTGGCTCTACCATAACATATTTCGTATTTGTTGCACCATTAACGGAAATGTGTGCAACCGCATTATAGATAGAGGAAATTATGAAAATATCCATCTATAGAACTAGTTGATAAATTAAACCTCACTACTTGGAACCATTATAAGTCATATTCTCTGACTAAGTTGAAGAAGGGGAATAAGATTAGTGCTAATAAAAGATACCTAGTGGAGCTTTTTATTAGAGACAAATTTCAGAAATAAGTGTGGTGTAACGTAGTACATATGGATGTTTGTCACATCCTATTAAGTCGTCCTTGGTAGTATGATCATTGCACAAACACAATTACAGTTACGAGAACACATGCTTTCTCCAAAGATGGGAAGTGCTTTGTACTATTGCCTTGAAAACAATCTGAAATAATGAACGTTCATACAGAATTTGAAGATGTTGCATCACTAACTAATTTTTTGCAAGCCTTGAGCGAAGCACCAATAGAATTAGTATGAAATTGTCCAAGAGGGCAATGAGTTCGTGGAATCGATACTAGACACAAGGCAGCCCCAAAAAAGAAGATTTCAAGATTTTTGGATGTACAGTCAAACTCTAGGTTGTCACTGATGAAGGAGGACCAGCAAGTCATTACTTTAAATAAAGATGAAAAATTTTTGTGTTAATTTTGGAAAGCTCTATCGAGTAAGTTGGGTACTAAATTTCAATTCAGTCAAACAGCACCGACACAGACATGTGGACACACATAAGTACTAAATCATAGCTTTAAAAATCTCATTGAATGTTTTATGAGAAAGATTATTTGACAGTGGGATCCAGGCCCTTCTACAAAAAAAAAGAGAAGCCTCTCCTGGTCAGGGAGAATAATGCAGGAGCTTTCCCCTTCCAAGGGATTATGTGGAATCGTAAAATAGGTAGGATCTTGCAATCCCACAAAATTCCCGAATGGAAAACTGTCGATTTTTTTTCTATTTCACTATTTCTACATAGGTTATTTTACATTAGGGAGCTTCTATATATCTTGTAGTATGGCTACTTTGAAATTTTAGCTTGGTTTTATATGTTTGGAGATTGTATTATCTGATTTCTACGAGTGTTGTGTCATCCTCGTTTTGCAAGTGGCGTGTCTGTTATTTGTTCAAGAATATGTGATGAACCTCCTCACCATCCGGACATTACCATTTTGTGGTTTTCTTTACTGATTTCAGCCCAGGCAACCGTCGAACGACATTTATCACCTTCCAAACACTGTCGATACCCATATTTTGACTTTCTTACTATTCCTAAACTGCTACCCATCTAAATTTTTTCCTAAAAACCTTCTAAGAGCCCTAGAACTGTGTCAACATATCTTAGCTTATAAAAGTGGCAATCAAACCATTTCTCCTATACCCACCCTCTTGAGTCCAAGAATTTAAACTTGTCAGTATATTAAAATAAATCATAGCACAACAATTTTCCATAAAACCTAAACACTCTAAACATTTGTTAGTAGTCGTAATCATGCAACTTTTTCAAGTTTTACAGACATAAATTTATTTGGTACTGCAGCACCTAAGCACATCTCCTCCTACAATGAAAGATAAGCAAATCAACCAATTGTAAAGTCAATCTTACCAGAAAACATTAACTCATGCATAGGATTCGACCAAATCTTCAGATACAAAATGGACCAGGCACAAAATCAGTCAATATGACTTCTTAATTATTATTGCAGGCTGTTTGATCAACCTTCCAATCATCAAAATTCAAGTTTCATGTATTCAGGGGAAAATATCACAAACAATCCAGAAATATTTTGAACTTCTTTTCTTTTTTGCTAAATGTCAAAACTAACCATACCCTGGTACAAATTGGACCCTGCTGAAACTTCTAACTTGTTATTGATTCATAACAGCCCCTTCAAGTAAGAATAATATCGGCGGAGGCGCCATAAGAAACAAGAATGTATATTAACTGAACAAAACTTGCAAGGAGCACATGTTCAAGGAGAGTAGGCATTTAAAACTGATTTTTTTTCATTATTATGATAACATGCAAATTTAAAAACAATCTCTTCATTTCTCAAACAACTCATCATTCCACGTTCCATCCACTTAATTTTGAATTTTTAGCTCCTTCAACTTCTCGGACCCTTTCTGTCCACCAGTTAAACTTCACTATCCATTCATCTTATTGAAAATTGAAAGCATGGAAGTAGAATCACAACATTCAAGCTATTTTAAGCTAATAATCCGAATCAACGCAAAAAAAGAAATCAACGATAGAACACCAAAAATAATCACAGGAAAAAGTCACAAATTACTAAAAAGAATGCAAAAAGAAACTCAATAAATTATCTTTAAGAAATGGCAACTTTCATGAACCCTGACACATTAAAACCCGAAGGTATCTGGAGAAGGAAATCTCCAAGGAAATCATGAAGGACCAACTTGAGTGATGAATTAAACATTCAAATATATATATAAGAATCCTTGATTAATTGCCACATAAATCAACATCAATGAAATAAGTGCAAATCAGGATAAGAAATAAACGCTGGCAGGAAATATTCCGCCGGAAGCCTACACGGATCCTTCGTTGAAGATGTCGATTGAAACAACTAACTGCTCCGCGCCGGACTTGAGCCGGGATTGGCTCACCTTCTTGTTCGCCACCATGAAGGGCACATCAGAGCTCGTTAGAACCGAAGAAACAAATAGGGTTGCCACGACAAGAGGGAAGAGGAACACCAACTTCGGTCTCGCCATGGCTAGGGTTTCGTTCACTCACAGATCTAAACAACGTTGAAAAATCCGGAGAGCACGGGAACGTTTTCTTCGGGGGCGGCAGAAGGGATTGAAAGACGGATTAAAAAAAATTGGTGCCTCGTTTCCGTTTCAGGGCATTTCTGGGCCTTTTGCTAGAGAAAAAAATATTAAATTAATATAATATTATAATAAATTAATAAATAAAATAAAAAACTTATGCTATAAATAATAAAAACAATTTTACATACTATCAAAGTCTTATTTTAACCCTTTTTAATAATTAAAATATAAATTCTTCAAATTTAATAACTTTTGAGTATAACTATATTACGAGTCGAGTCGGGGCTGGCTTGAGCTTGCCTAGTTAGCTCATTGAGCTCGGCGCATGAACCACTTATTGAGTCGAGCTCGAGCCGGCTCACGAGCCGATTTGGCTCACTTACACCCTCATGTACAACCACTTAATTGATTTCGATTGTGAATCGGCCTTTCAAGTGAGTTGAGAACATCAATTAAAATTAAAAATATATATTAATAATCAAATAGCTCATTTTCTTACTCCAACCAAGATCTAACACCTAGAATAGAATAAAAAAGCAAATTAACTTATAGGGCAATCATAGTGTATCCAATATTTGTGCACCTAATATAGCATTGGTTGTGTTAACCAGCCCACATTTATCAAGATAAGATCCGAATTATTTCAATAAATTTGGTTTTAGATATTCAAATATAACACATTTAGTATGCAATGTCTATAGATAGATGCATAACCAATGGCTTTTGTTATTTATTTTATTGTTAATCGGAGATAACTATTATGTATTTATGTATGTACACGTTGAATCATATTATCATGATATATCATTTCTATCATATTTGAGCACCTTCCTTGTGGTTTAACATTATACATTATCTCAATAATGAATTAATTAACTCAAAATAATGAGACTACATGCTATAAGAAAAAAACAATATAGTACTGTTGGATCCTAAATTGTCTTTCAGTATATACGCCACGAGAGTTAGAGCTGAGAGGAAAAAAGAGGGAAAGGTACAGTCTAGAGAAAGAGAATGTGTTCCTTTCATTTATGTCCTGACCTCCTTCTTATAGAAGTCTAAAATACAGTTGTAGAAAAGAGAGACAGCAGTTACAATAACCATCCAAATAACTGAATCAATGTGGTTGTCAAATGAAAAATACATCATAGTACAAAAGAAATATAATGTTCATCGATCGTCGGATGCTTTGGCTTCGACTGACAATGTCGATCGGCTGCATATACAAGATTGCTTCCGCCGACAGAATCGTCTCATCGATCAAAGGCATCTGATTGATTTCGATGAGGGGTCAGTCGGTCGACAAATTTGTCGATCTATTTTGCTATGTAGCTGATCAATCACTTGGTCAGTCCACATCTCGCCTTTTTGCTCAGAGCTTCGATCACCAGTGCTTCATTCCTAGTCGATTGATCCATTTGAGATTCGTGCTTGTATTTTTATTGTATTCATATTGGTTCTCAATTTTTCTACTTCTTAATAGCGACAGTTACGATAAGGACAGAAAAATTATAAAGTAACAAATGACACAATGACGAAAAAATAAATTTAATAATTATTCTCCCTTGTGTTCATTGCCCAGTGAACTCTATAATCAATTCTTGGTGTCCTGCTTCTACAACAGTTGAAAAGAAGAAAAATAAAGTTTTGAAGAAAAAGAAGCGATCAACACCCAAACCTGAGTCGGTCAACCAAGTGACTTCTTTGGAAGGTCTCAGCAATCAAGCACCAAAGAGAGCTTTGAAGAAATACGCTTTCCAGAGAGTTCTGACTTCTGGTCCAAAAATTAGTGTGATTGATGAGGAAAATATGCAATTCGATCCACCTGTCAAATGAATTGAGGGTGGACAAGGGAGGTCGAAGGAAAAGCTTATCGTCAATTCTCTTTTGCCCACACTACAAGATAGGAACGTTAACCTCCTGACACAAGGAACCAATGAATTTTCTGTTAGCCTTTCTAAATAAAACAGATTTTTGGGTATGTAAAATTTTTCCTAACTTTGATAGCCTTTAATAATTCCTTGACATTATTTTTAATGTAGATAAGCCCACTGCACTGGTGAATTGTGCTGATGGTGGGCCATCCAAGAATATTATTGTTGATTTGATCCCAACTCCTACGGTTGAATCACAAGAACCGACCGCTGCACCTCTTCAATCAAACAATGAGAGTGTATATGGGTCGATAGACCCATTCAGCAGCTCTCAATATGAAACATTTGAAGAGCAAACAATTGTTTTTTTGTCTATGTGTCGAGTTCTCCAACAACTTCAAAGAGTTTAGATATAACGACATGTCCCCATAAACTTTGTGAGTTATCTCTAGAACTCGGAGAAAGTCGTCTACAAAGGTGTCATGTGAAGTATCGGCTTGACTCGTTCATGCATCGACCAGTTTTGTTATTTGGGTTCTGATGAAAGTAGCTATTTCTTTTTTTTCTTTTGTCCACCCTAGGTTGCTTTGACATGTAGGTGGACTTCAGTTCATTTAGTTTTAGGCTTGGGCCTTCACCTGAGTCAGTTATCTGTCTGGCGACCAACTCTGGTATGCTAGCAATCCCATGTTCACTTGGGGTGAAAGCATGAGTGCCAGTTGCCACAAACCCACCAAACATAATGTCCAACTTCTCTTCTAAATCAGGGTCAATTCCCCAGAATTTGAATTTCTTGGCGGTTGGCACTACCTGCTATATGCGGGGAAGTTGATTGCTTCAAACAGTTCAGTATGAGACATTACTGAAAAATAATCTTTAGTATAATGAAAATAAAGTAATGAAATTTTTTACTTCCAATTTCTATGTCTACCATTCCTTTGAAGCATCAGCAGTCCATTTGATTGGATCTCATCCGAACCCCGTAGATGCTCATTTTAATTACTTCCATAGATTTCAGTCTTTCTTCAACTGATCCAACTTGTTCTTAAGTTGTAACATATCATACTCTCTTCCTGACATTTCCTTGAACTTCATCATAATATTTTGACACCCTTCCTTATTAAAATAGGTGGTGGGTCTATTTATCAGCTCAACCTTCTTAAGACAGAGATCGCAAAATTTGAGTTTTGCTTCCCTATCCCACGTGGTTGATGAACTGACTTCTTTAGACTTAACCAATGTGTTACTATAATAGAAAAAATAAACATTAATATTTCACAACAATCACAGAATAATAATTAGCTACGAGAACCATACAACTACAACATAGTCACCTTCACCCTAGTACGAACTAGAGCCACCACACAACCCAACTATTGTCATCCTAATCCACAACCTACTACCATCACCACCACACAACACACATCACAAGCCAGAGCCACCACCCCGACCCACAACCAACACACAACACAACCTTTCATGCAGCTGTGTGAAGAAACTAAAATAGGAAAAAAAAATATTACACCCCATCATGTGAATTTTATAAGAATCAATTTAATTTTTTCATTTTAGATGTAAATCTTATAAGGCTCAAATTCCTACAGCACATAAAATGCATACCTTTGACATCTTTGTTATTATATCAAAAATACACCATCCTTGCCTTGTTACATTGCATCAGATGGAAATGAAACCAACTTTCACAGTTCTATTTCTTATGTATAATTATTTATATGGTATGTTGATCAGATAATATAAATATCGTGCAACATATTATCATTTTCTCTAACCTCAATTGATAGAGGATGACGGTCTTGCATGCTTTGCATTTACATATTTTTACTAGCATGAATGAACCATGAATGGACTCATAAAATTATAAAGTGTGATATTCACACTTACAACACAATGTTATCATAAATATATTCATGGAATGTGTATATCACTTTTAAAAAGTCAATGATGATGGTATGTTTGATATTATAACAAAAATTAGAAAGTTATGCATGTCATTTGCTGCATGAAATTGAGCCTTATAGAATTTACATTTGAAATGGAACGGTTAAATTGCATCAGTTAGAAATGAAACCAACTTTCACAGTTTTATTTCATATGTATAATTATTTATATGGTAGATTGATTAGTGAATGTACAATAGAAAGATCTTGCCACATATTTAAAACCTTGTCTCATGATGGGGTGTAATATTTTTTTTTCAAGTATGGTTTCTTCAAACATTTGCAATAAATAAATATATTTTTTTCTCTAACCTCATGTGAAAGATGATGATTATCTTGCATGCTTTTCATTTACACTTTCCAACTAACATGAATGGACCACACATGGACTCATCAAATTACAAAGTTTGATATTCACACTTACAACACAATGAAACCGCAAATATATGCTTAGAAGGTGTATATCACTTTTAAGAGACCAATGAGGGTGGCATGTTTGATATGATAATAAAGACTTGAAAGGTATGAATGTTATATGTTGCGGAGAATTGAGCCTTATAAATTTACTCATGAAATGAAAGAGTTAAATTGCCTCAATTGGAATTGAAACTAACTTTCACAGTTCTATTTCTCTTGCGTAACTATTTATATGATAAATCGATCAATGAAGGTAAGATAGAAAAATCTTGCCACATATTTAAAACCTTGTCTCATGATGGGGTGTAATATTTTTTTTTCAAGTATGGTTTCTTCAAACATTTGCAATAAATAAATATATTTTTTTCTCTAACCTCATGTGAAAGATGATGATTATCTTGCATGCTTTTCATTTACACTTTCCAACTAACATGAATGGACCACACATGGACTCATCAAATTACAAAGTTTGATATTCACACTTACAACACAATGAAACCGCAAATATATGCTTAGAAGGTGTATATCACTTTTAAGAGACCAATGAGGGTGGCATGTTTGATATGATAATAAAGACTTGAAAGGTATGAATGTTATATGTTGCGGAGAATTGAGCCTTATAAATTTACTCATGAAATGAAAGAGTTAAATTGCCTCAATTGGAATTGAAACTAACTTTCACAGTTCTATTTCTCTTGCGTAACTATTTATATGATAAATCGATCAATGAAGGTAAGATAGAAAAATCTTGCCACATATTTAAAACCTTGTCTCATGATGGGGCGTAATATTTTTTCCAAGTATGATTTCTTTAAACATC